CGTGCGGGGGGATGTGTGCGCGGGGCGGGGGGGGGGAGGCGCAGACCCAGGTGTAGGTGGATTTACTGCGAGGAGGGGGAGGAGCAGACCCAGGTGTAGGTGGATTTACGCTGCGAGGAGGGGGAGGAGCAGACCCAGGTGTAGGTGGATTTACGCTGCGAGGAGGGGGAGGAGCAGACCCAGGTGTAGGTGGATTTACGCTGCGAGGAGGGGGAGGAGCAGACCCAGGTGTAGGTGGATTTACGCTGCGAGGAGGGGGAGGAGCAGACCCAGGTGTAGGTGGATTTACGCTGCGAGGAGGGGGAGGAGCAGACCCAGGTGTAGGTGGATTTACGCTGCGAGGAGGGGGAGGAGCAGACCCAGGTGTAGGTGGATTTACGCTGCGAGGAGGGGGAGGAGCAGACCCAGGTGTAGGTGGATTTACGCTGCGAGGAGGGGGAGGAGCAGACCCAGGTGTAGGTGGATTTACGCTGCGAGGAGGGGGAGGAGCAGACCCAGGTGTAGGTGGATTTACGCTGCGAGGAGGGGGAGGAGCAGACCCAGGTGTAGGTGGATTTACGCTGCGAGGAGGGGGAGGAGCAGACCCAGGTGTAGGTGGATTTACGCTGCGAGGAGGGGGAGGAGCAGACCCAGGTGTAGGTGGATTTACGCTGCGAGGAGGGGGAGGAGCAGACCCAGGTGTAGGTGGATTTACGCTGCGAGGAGGGGGAGGAGCAGACCCAGGTGTAGGTGGATTTACGCTGCGAGGAGGGGGAGGAGCAGACCCAGGTGTAGGTGGATTTACGCTGCGAGGAGGGGGAGGAGCAGACCCAGGTGTAGGTGGATTTACGCTGCGAGGAGGGGGAGGAGCAGACCCAGGTGTAGGTGGATTTACGCTGCGAGGAGGGGGAGGAGCAGACCCAGGTGTAGGTGGATTTACGCTGCGAGGAGGGGGAGGAGCAGACCCAGGTGTAGGTGGATTTACGCTGCGAGGAGGGGGAGGAGCAGACCCAGGTGTAGGTGGATTTACGCTGCGAGGAGGGGGAGGAGCAGACCCAGGTGTAGGTGGATTTACGCTGCGAGGAGGGGGAGGAGCAGACCCAGGTGTAGGTGGATTTACGCTGCGAGGAGGGGGAGGAGCAGACCCAGGTGTAGGTGGATTTACGCTGCGAGGAGGGGGAGTTGTGCTGGTGTAGGGGCCCCTCGCCCCAAACAACGTCCCCCCGTCACTTGGCACTAGGGAGGATTTCACACCCCGCCAAAAGAGCTACCCTGCATGTCCCTTGCTGTGTGTAGGTGGATTTACACTGAGCCCCCAGCTCAGTCTCCGCCAAACAAGTGCACCAAATCGCCGTGCTTGAAAATTTTGCTCCTAAACAATCCCCAGGGCCGCAATTGCCCCATGAACCGGGGCACTGACACCCACTGGCCCAGCAGCTGAGCGCACGATGGCTCGCGAGCCCTTTGCAGCTGCCCCGCAGGGGGCGCCTCGGCCCTGATCTCGACGTCGTTGGCTCCCTGGATCAGGATGGCTTTCTTCAGGTTGCCAGCCGCCTCGTCCATGTAGGCGATGCTGTTCTTGCAGTGGTAGGTTATGTTCTGGGAGCCTTCGGTGGACAGGAGGCGCAGGAAGGTCATCTGGATGTTGGCAGTATTAGGGGCGAGGTTGTCATCTCCATAGCTGAACTGGAGGCCCTGATCTCGACGTCGTTGGCTCCCTGGATCAGGATGGCTTTCTTCAGGTTGCCAGCCGCCTCGTCCATGTAGGCGATGCTGTTCTTGCAGTGGTAGGTTATGTTCTGGGAGCCTTCGGTGGACAGGAGGCGCAGGAAGGTCATCTGGATGTTGGCAGTATTAGGGGCGAGGTTGTCATCTCCATAGCTGAACTGGAAGGGGAGACCAAGAGGGTTAGCAAGGCCGGGTAGCCAGGGGCTCGCGTGGCAGGTAAAGGCACCCTCAGCTATGTCCAAGACACCGTCCTTCCCACTGGCCTGGGTACCCCCGTTCCTGGGCACCTGCGAAAGCCCAGCCGGTTATGCGGAGATTCAGACCATTGGCATGAACTGGCAGCAGTTAACACGTTCTAAATCGTGATGGCCCCGTGCGCTAGAGGCCAAAGGCACCTGAAAGTGAAGCATGGAGAAGCCACGGTGCAGCGGGTCTGAACGAGACGGGAAAGTGCTGGAATAGGGACGTGCGAGTTCTCAGCCGCGCCATGGCCACGCAGCATGTTGCCACAAACATTCCCCTCGCCAAGGGCTCCCTCCCTAATAGCGCAGATCCCTCTTGCCTCCTTTGGGCATAAAGCACCAGACTGTCCAAGGGCCACACATGCCTTTAGTAATCTGCCTTTTCCTGTTCCGCTAACTGGCCTGCTGCAGCGCGGGCGCGGCATGGAAGGCTTCCGCGCTCCTGCCGACACGGCTCCCCCCTTCCCCGGGGCCGTGTGGCTGGTTACATCAGCATGTGCGCGATGCACAGACGTTCAGATTTGCTGCATGTTTTTCCTCCTTTGTGTGTGTGTGTGTGTGGGGGGGAGGGGTCAGTCCATGCAGGTTCGCATGCAATGGAAAAGCCGCTTGAGTCTTGAGCCTGTATTTTCAGACCCCGAGGACGGCGGAGGGGGTTACGTTTATGGGGCACCCACACAGCGCCATGGCACAGACGCGTGATGTCCAGAGGGCAGGTGCTCAGCACGCAGATCGCCACTCGCGTTGGTGCTGCTAAACAAACTGAGCTGGCTCTCTCCATGCAGGTTCGCATGCAATGGAAAAGCCGCTTGAGTCTTGAGCCTGTATTTTCAGACCCCGAGGACGGCGGAGGGGGTTACGTTTATGGGGCACCCACACAGCGCCATGGCACAGACGCGTGATGTCCAGAGGGCAGGTGCTCAGCACGCAGATCGCCACTCGCGTTGGTGCTGCTAAACAAACTGAGCTGGCTCTCGCGGGGAAGAAAAGGGCTCCCCCTCGGAATAGGAGCCAGCGCGCCCGAACGCCCCCGAGAGGCCAACGGCCTGTTCCTTTGACACATCAACCCCAGCCACGTACGTGGAAGCCGCCATTGATGGTCTCTCCAAACCAAATGTGCTTCTTGTCCTTGGTCTTGCTGGTCCACCAGTTCTTCCTGGGCACGCTGGACGGGTTGGGATAGACGCACGTTTCGCCCGTCTCCATGTTACAGAAAACCTTCATGGCGTCCAGGGTGCAGCCCTGGTTGGGGTCGATCCAGTAGTCGCCTGCAGTGGTGGAACGCGCAGAGGTTAGCGGCGCGGCGCGCTGGTGGGCGCAGGACTGGCGGGTGCTGTGTCGGGCGGGGGAGCGGAGGATGGGCTAGGTCAGGAATACGGGGCATGCACAGAGCTGTGTGTCGGAGGGGAGCCCAGGAATAGGACAGCAGGCAGGTGGCAGGTCAGTGTGAGGTGCACCAGCATTGGCAGGGGGGAATCCCAGGGCGGGAGCAGCGGGTGGGAGCTGGAGAGGAGCCGTGGGGCGGAGCGCCGGTGGAGGAGCAGGGGGGCGCGCGGGCAGGCGCTGGAG